TCGAGAAATATTTTGCACAGTATTCACTTCCCTTTTTGATTCTTCGTTAATTTTAGTGTTTATTTATTTTAGTTAGGTAATAAATCAATGTAACAATCCTATGTCACGGAAGCTGGCAGAAATGGGAATCGAAATTGTACATCATTCGGAGATGCGATTGATTCAGTGCATGACAGATTCGACTGGCGCGCATAACGTTCCAAAGAAACGTACAAAGATCTGAGCTTTACGTAAAGCTTTATTTCCGTCTTCTTCCGCATTCAATTCTCTTCGGAGACGAAGAAAGGCGTAACGAAGCAGTATTATATATTGTGATCTCATTTAAGATATATCTTTTGCTTTTCGCAGAGAATACCCGACACCTGATCCTGAAGCGCGTGTATTTTAATTCTCGCGTCTCCACTGCGCTTTTATCGATATTCCTAGAGGATGATGTAACGAATACACGAGTCGGTTGCACTTACAATTTCACTCTCGCCAACTATAAATGTACAAATATTTTGTTGTATTGATAGTTATCGCTTCTCGCGCACCGGCGTCGATCGTCGGATGAGAGACATTCATATGTGTGTACCTGCAGTCTACAATTCTGAGGGAAATCTATTTTCTGTATAGTATGCACTAAAGAGACTAATCCACAAATGTAAGGAAATCGAAAAAACTTGTAAAATGGTTCGGAGATCAGATATACTGTTAATATTGTATAAGAAAGATTATTATAATACACGATAAGATTTTCATTGATAAAAGTACAAGATTGTATCCCAAATATTTAGGTATATATAGTTTTACATCACTTTGTTTTTGTTTTATTCTTAATATTAATGTTGATTATTGAGATAATTGTTTCGTATCAACTCGCAGTTATGTATTTATTCTTGTGCCATTATAGAAGTACAAAAACAGCGATTATCAATTGTCTGAAAATAAAATGTCTAATAGAACGCATAAGATTGAAAGTTTCGCGGAAAATGCGATAAATAAACGTGTATGCATTATTAAAATAATTATTTAATATCCATTTAACCACAAGAATATTTTCACTTATAATTGCCTTAAAGCGTTTATTATTAAATGTAGTTTGAGAAAATATAGGAAATCGGAGAACTTATTCAATATTTCTATACATATGTAAGTATTTTAATATATTTACTCATTTTCAAGAACGGATTACATAAAACTCACAATCATTAACAGTAAAAAGTATTTTGAGGAAAGTACATAACATCATGAGATCACATATACATTTCAGAATCCTTTTTATTGTCAAAGACTTTAAGTTTTATTATATTTCATTAAAAAATAAAAAATAGAATAAAGATTATGCGTTTCTCGGGTTTCCTCTGTGTCTAGATCCATTCTTGGAATGCCAACGTTTCGTGAACCTTGCAGTCACTTCATCAGGGCGAGAAACTGACTTTTAGAAACGTTGGCATTCCAAGAATAGATCTGGACACGGAGGAAACCCGAGAAACGCATAATCTTTATATAGAAAGCACCGTGGAAGCCTCAAGAACATTATCGAAAAATAAAAATATAAAATATATAAAATAAATATATTAAAATACGTATATGTGTAAGCATAGATTTTGTGTAGTCATAGAGATTTAATTATTTATCTAAAAAAATGTATAATATATAATCAAAATAAATAAATCAAAAATATATAAAACAAAATATAATTTTCCGGCATATGGATCGCTTGCTATTATTTCATAATCAAATTTAAGGTAGTAGAAACTGACAATATTCAATTATTATAATTAATAATATAACAAATCTCATTTAAAGTCAACAATAAACATATTTTCTTATATTTTTACGCATTATAAATATGTTATAATGAATGATAAATAAATACCAATATCATTTTTTTAATCATAATCACGGTCTTTCTTTAAAAAAAGTTCATTTTTTTTATTCATTGTTAATGTTTACATATTATTTAATACTATCACAGTTACAATTCTAATTGTGTGTGATTACAATTGTATAGATAGTACAGTCCCAATCACTTTTAATGAAGATAGTAATCCATTTCTTTATAAATATAATTTGTCAAATATCCTGTACAGTATTCGTCACGATCAAAAATACTGTTAATATACAGTTTTCTTTCATGCATTTCTTTTGTAATATATCTTTTGAAATATTTGTGGGAAGTATATAAAAAATATTTTTCGAACTGAAAGTTTTCAATCATTTTAATAAATGTAACCTATAATTTTTTAAGAATTTTTGTGCTTGTAAAATTTATGTATAAGTAATATATAGGTATAAGTAACATAAATGTATTTAAGAGAAAATTAGAGCAACATAAATGTTTATGAGGAATGATTAAAAATCGAATATTTTAAAAAATATTGTTTATAGAACTTTGTTTAAATCTGAATTAAGACCTAAATTACCAATATTGTTACAATAAAATTATTAATGTCTTATTAAAAATTTAAAGAACATAAATAATATTACAGAAAATATGAAATACATATTTTGAAGATATATAGCAAAATTTTGCAAATAATTCCATTATTTATCTTTGTATATGTATTGTCATGTATGAAAATTCCTCTGTCCCAAATTATGCTTTCAATTACCTTATTACAAGAAAATGAAAAGTTGAACAATATACCTTGTTCAACTTTGTACGTTCAACTTAATTAAGGCAGAGTTATAATAAAATTGTATCAGGAATAAAACTTTCTAGGATGTAATTAAAATTATAATTTACGAAGATCGAGAACAAATACACTGCCATCAGATGCAGATGCACCAACTTTGTCACCGCGACTGTTCCAGCAGACTTCAAAAATACCGCCTGTACCTTTGTAACTGTGCACCAACTGTCCGCTCTGCTCGAATTAAGAGAAAATAATCAATTTAATTTCAACCAGTATTATTTTATAGAAATAAAAAAAAATTATAAACTACGATACTTACTTGCGTAGACCATATATGAACGCATTTATCGAAACTACCGCTAGCAAGAAACTTTCCATCTGGACTGAATGCTACACTATAGACGGGCTCAGTATGTTTGGTAAGCGTGTGTATGCAAACACCCCTTTCCACATCCCATAATCTAACAGTGGAGTCAAATGATGCGCTCGCCAACGTCAGATTCATATTCGGATTGTGTGTTCCTGGACCAGTTGGTGACCATTTAATCGTATAGATTTCTTTACTATGTGCTTGCAGATCATGTACCCAAGTATCCTGTTTCATAGACCAAATCTTCAGACTCATATCGTCTGAACAACTGGCCAATAAATTTCCTTGCGGATCCCATTTAATTGCATTAACTTCGTTCTGCAAAATACACAAGATGAAAAAAAATAAAAGAAAATGTTTAATTAAATCATGATGATTTTCTTGCATCACATGTACGCACTGTATGTCCCTGAAAGCTCTTAATGGGCTTATCGACGTTAAGTTTGCACACATGTATGCACTGATCTGTAGAACAGCTTGCGAATGATGTGTTTGTTTGCCAATCGACATCTAAAGCAGGTGCACAATGAAAACTAAACTGTTGTGTACATTGTCCGCTTTCGGCATCCCAAATAATCGTCGTCTTATCGACACCAGCACTCAGAATATAATTGCCGCGTTTGTTCCATTTTAGTGCGAAAATCGGACCTTTGTGTTGACCTAAAGTAGATGCCAGACGACCATCTGTTGTCCAGATTCGTGCATATCCATCATAACTTCCCGTTGCAAGTAATGTGCCATCACACTGTAAAAATTTGAAATGTTTGCATCAACGTCTTCAAAAATAAATAAAAAGGTCATAAAACGATATTGCTTTGATTCAAATTTTGATTGTGTTCATACAGCGTGCATATCAAAATCAAAATATAACATTTTAAAAATGTCTTAAAAATGTTTTTTTTTATTTTACGTGTCTAGGTATTTCTTAAAATTTGGGCCAAAGCTATCCCAATTGGATCACAATTATTTTACAATATCCAGTTTGTACCTTCCAATCCAATGATGTAACGTCTTTATTACTGGGTACTTCAGTACCACCTTTCTGGATACAGTGACGTAGAACCAACTGATTGGGAGCTTGTGAATTGTCCGACATATCCCAAATGCGAGCGGTACTATCACCCGAACCAGAAGCTAATAAGTCAGTTGTTGGGTTCCAGGCACAAATAAATACTTCCGATTCATGACCACGTAATTTAGTAGCTTTACTAGCAGGGATTTCGACGGTACTAGCATTGGAGCCTGCATTTGCACCTGTTGTTGGTTCATCCACCTCCATCTCCGTTCCCCGATCCCCACCTCGATCACTATTATTTACACCTTCATTGGATGTAACAACTGAGAAAAGAATACGTTTATTTGATTAATTTATAAAGATTTCTTATAATAGTTTTGAAATAATAAAACAAATTCTTCTTCCCAATAATTCTAAAAATAGAAATAATAAAAAAAACATCTATTGTTAAATCATGAGTTAAGTTGACTTATATAATATTTATTATCGTTTGACAGTAATACTTTATATATATTTCTACTTATTATTTAATTAATTCGTTTAAATTGTTTGCCACTAGTTGACAGTCAGATTGACATGATGAGTTATATGTTGTCTCTTCTGGCTGCATCCAATGATAGCAATATGTTCCTTCATAGAAGAATCATATTTTTATCATAA